TGAATGCCGGTCACTTGTTTGTTTTTTTTATGTGTGTGGATGGGATGGCAGGGCAGAGAATGGAATTAATTTTAGGGGGCTCCATAGGCAATGAAATTTGTGCCTTTGTCTACAAATTTGCCAGCAGTTTCATGCAAAATGCACTCCAAATCCATCGTTGTGTGATATGATAAAATGGGGCTTTTATTTGTTCTTAGGCAAGTGGGGAGGATGGAGCGAGCATAAGGTTGCAAATGGCACCTGCTGTCTTCCAACGTATCCTCCTCCACCAAACCATTGAAGCACGAGGTAGATCTCTTGTTCTCTTGCCGTTTTTCCTAAATACTCAAATTCCAGTCCAAACCTGTACCTGTAGGTAAAAATGCACTCCCAAGTACTGAGCTGACGGACTAGGCTTCTAAGCTTTGACAAAAGTTGTTCTCTACCTTTTCCGGTACCTTTTCATAACGGTAGTGCCCAAAAGTTGACACATTAATTTGCCAACATGTTGTATAAGCCTATGCTTTCTTGCACCATACATGTATGTAAGTTCTTTGGTGTAAGATTCAACAGAAATGTTAAAAGTTATAAAATGGTTTTAAAAAACTAAATCTGTGAGATGGGAGGTGAAACAGTTCCATCTTTAAAGAAAAAACAGGTATACTGGTAATTCATAGCCCCAAAACTTAATTGTACAAAGTAACGTAGTCTATCCCACCCCAAAGTGGCTGTCACGGAAACATTTCAGTGGCTCATCATTGGCACCACAGGCAAGCCGTCCAAATGAGTTTTAATTTTATAAACCTTTTCAGGAAATCATCAATTCCTCGCACCCTTGGCAGTCAGGGCCATGACAACGGAGGGCATTGGGTGGGGAAATTGTTCCATTTATCGGGTTCCGTTCCGCCCGGCGGTTCTTTCATAATCCAGTATTTAGAAACATCTGAATCCAATGCAAACTGTGAGTGAAGTCCATCATACTCGGCTGACCAAAAAAACCTTTGAAAAAGTGTCCATTCAAGCCCAACATAATTTGGGGTGTAAAAGTGATCAGGAAAGGCACAGTCTTCAAATTTTAAGAAGTAAGGACTCTTGTTTTCGTTTTTTTAAGGGTCAACTTTTCTAGGGATGTGCCGAATATCCAAATAACCGAATATTCGATCGATTGTTGAATATTCAAATATTAGTTTTCGAATTTGAATATTCAAATGCAAAATTCATGACAAGGGGGGTAATGTTTTCTTTTGTTTTAAATGAGAAAAATTGTACTATGGAGGCTTCTTTCCAGCAAATTCAAATGAAAAGTGTCGGAAATCATACAACGATTTAAAAAGTAAATTATTCATTAAACAATTTAAAAGGAATAGAAATTTTCAAAAGGGCAAGAAGTTTTGTTCATCTCTTAAATCTTGCTAAATCGTGGCGGGACTCGGGAGATACTCCTAGATGTAAGAAGCTACCAGATATTATATGATCATGTACAATTGTTTGTGTTATTGCAACTAATTTTGTATGTATGGTTTGTTCATCAACAATCTGCCGGTTGGTGCGACCGAATATTCTGATATTCAATCAAATTGAAGGTCGAATATTCGAATAGTGAATTATTCGAATTGACTCAGCTGTAAACTGAGGGGCATCTAAGCTCGGGAAAATCTATGGATCCAGAAATGGACTGCTTAAAAATGAATGCCAGAACATATCAATCAAATAGGCCTACAAACCTGGAAAAAGTTTAAACGTTTTGGAAAATCTGTTAACATTTACTGAAGCTTTTTTTTTTGTTTAAACATGTAATCGTCACCCTCATTAGTATCGCATCTGATTCGGGATTGTTTTGAGAGTCAAGCAGACAAAAAGTCCCTGTCCAGGAAAAGTGTTCATCAGGGTTCATTCACATTGTTCCTGTCCTTGGATTCCCCATAATACTGGGTCTGATCTGCCTAAGTCATGATCCTTAGATTTGTCTTTTTTTAGCATGGTATTAAGATTGCGGTTTATTTTTTTTGCAAACTCAGGAAAACCACAGTGTGGTCAAAGAGCCCTGTTAAACCACAAGCTTGCCGGTTTTTCAAGACCAATGTAACCACTCTCATGCAATGCTGTGGGCACCAGCATGGAGTGTCTGAATATCTGAGTATGTAGAATTGAGTTGATTTTTACTTTTACCTAACTGATTTATGAAGCACAATCAAGTTCCTGTGGGTGTGGACTCAAGTTAGTTACCTTGTCTACTCAACAATTGTTGTACCAGTACAGTGCCGGCCCTGTGTAGCCTTTCAAGATTAACTCCTCATTGAAAAGCTCAGTTTCAAGAATTTTTTATAAAACTCAATCAAGTGTTGTGATACCCACTGCCATGCATTGCATTCAAACTGAGAACTGACCTTTGTAAGTTGTGTTGCTGAGTAGTACATGTAGGGTATCTTCGCTTGTGAATGCAAGTTTGATTCCCACATGAGTAAGCTTGCATATTTAAGAAAATTTCAGCCGTGCCACTCAAAAATCCTGGTGAACTCTCCTCAAGCTGATATCCCAAGTTTATTTGATGATGCTAGACATTTTGCTTCAATCTTAATTTTACAATACACTCTAGGATTGCTCACTGCTGTGTTTAAATTACGGTACATTCTACACTGTGTACATCCGCCTCAAGCCGAAGAACCCCCTCATTGGATGAAAAGAGCCGTGCTGGCTGGGAGTGTTGGTACATGTAGCTGTACGTACACAACGCATGCATTTCATAGTTGAACCAGTGAAGTGAAGTTCCTACCAAATGAGCCTCTGTTGCTGGGAGAATCGCTCCTTCTCTTGGTCCAGCTCGGGGTTCATTGAGAGATGTAATGGGACTGCTGTTTTGGATCCCAGTAAAGTGTCATGCCGGTACATGGGTGCTGAGTTTGTTGGACCCATTTTCTTAACTCCTTTCTTTTCCAGCTTGAATCTGTTTGGCTTGTCTGCCCTCTCTCCATCTGGGGTCATTACAATGTACGTTCCTTTTTTCCCCAACTGCCACTTCAAATTAAGATTTCCTTGAAACCTCCTAAAAAAATTCACAATTGTGTTTAAGTTTCGGGGCTTTCCAATTTGAGCCTGAAGTATCTGTCCTCTTCCCTTTCCCTTAGGCCAGCCGAGTTTAGCAGTCTGCACCCTTTGGGACAGCCCAGAGGGGCATGGTTCCACCTCTGGTCCCCCCCCCCCAGGAAGTCTTTGGTTAGGCTTGATTCATGGGGATGACCCCAATGCTAGGCCGGGGAGACACCCTCTACCCTTAGCATTTGAGATAGATTGCAACGCATTTATGTCATCCTCCAAGTGACTTCCATGTAGGTTACTGGTGAAGAGGAATTGGTTTGATGACGAAATGGTTTGATGACAGGAGGGATGGTTCGAATCCAGTCAGGGATCAAAAAGCTGTTGCCTGCATTCAGGGCCAGGTGAAGTTGATGGACACATCTGCTCTGTCCATGTTCTATTTTTGCCATTAGTGGTGAACTTAATAGGGGCTGTGTTTACTTGCTGTAAATGATGTTAGTTGGCCTTCACAGGAATCACTATTGTAAGCCTGCCTATCAGGGGTAATAGGCCAAGAATATGGTTGCTTTATTTTTTCGGTTTGAGCTCTAACAATAGCAGGGCTCAGTGTTGATTGGTATTGTGTAATTATGCCCTTCATCCAGGAATAACTGATACTGCCAATCTGGAGTAATATTACAGTAAAACCCGGAGATGCAATCTTGAGTGTTACTTTTGCTCTTCAGTCTTAATGTATCCATTTGACAACCAACATCTACCGGTGTGCGTTGGAGGTTGGGGGTTTCAACTTCATGACTGGAGGCCTGCCAACTAGCCACAAACATAATATTGTTTTCGCTTGGCCTAAGCTTCAAGATCAGCATTATGTCATCATGTGGCGTCTGCATCGTTACATTGTCTTATCCCTCCGAATCATCCCGGCAGAGGGGAAGAGGTTCCAGGTTTAGCCGATTAGCCGGCTGATCGCTCCGGCTTCTCAAAGGTAGCCAATTGGTCAGGCCCGTGCCAGGGCCATTAGGAAGTGACAAATGCCTGAAGCGTATCCTGCCTGCCAAGCTAGCCGTGTGGGGCCTTACATGCTGAAGGGTACCGTGAGGGGAAGTTTGGATGGGTCGTGGGAGGGTAGGATCTTGTTGGGCCTCGGATGCGGTGAGGCTTAATTAAACAAGGGGCTTGATGACTTGGCAAAGTAGAGCTAATTTTGGACAGGTGCTGTACTTGTACTCACTTGTTGATTGAATTGATTTTTCTCTCAGCATGGAAACGGAAAATGGGGTAAAGGAATGTATATCCAAATGATGAAACTCTATGAGGATTATTTCCAAAATGACCTCGGACTTGTCACCTCTAAAAAGCAGTCTGTTTGAAATCTATGATGATTGTCATTTTGAGAATTTTATTGGATAGTTCCCAAATAGGCAATGTAGTTCTATTCTACTGTTGGGGGAAAGTAGAGTAAATTAAAAGAAATTGAACAAAATTGGCCTTGCCCTTGTGAGCTTATAATTGGCAAATTTTGCTTCTGATAGGTAGAAAAATCTGTCGGAGTAAATTATGGAAAAGAAAATAAAAGGAAAAGGAGATGGAAAAGCAGGAAGACTGACAACTGCAAGGGACAGGCAAAGGACGAACTACCCAGCAGAGCTGATTCAGTGGGTTCAGCTGGTTGCCCCTTTCTAGAAGGACTTACTCCCCCCCTTGTAAGAAGGGGGCATGGAGCACAGACATCCTGGTTCATAGACAGCCGTCATCCTGCGACAAATTGTTGTAGGGGGAAATAATATATTTCCTTCCTTAAGACGAATTAGTGATCATTTACAATTTATGGGGATTTTCCCATGATCTTATTTTTGTCACCGCTGTAGATTTTCTATAAGTGATGATTCAATACAGTTTTCATCTCCAGGTCCGTTTTTTTAGTGTCAATGCATTGTGTTAATTTATGAGCAACTGAAAAATAGAACCCCTTTTTTTTTTTACTGCAGGTACACACTTGCTGCAGTGAATGAACACATATTCTTAGTTCTTCCCTACATAAGGTAAGTCCCTTTCCCATTATGCAGTTAGCATTCTTAACAATCAGTCGGCAGAAATCAGTTCATCCCTGCAGGTGCTTTTGACAAAATGACAAAATATTTTCTTCAAGGACAGAAGTACAAATCTTTTCTTAGGCCGTTCCAATGACAGGAAGCCAACACAAGGCTTACTCCTACCAAGTGACAAGAAAACCAGTGGTGAGCAGTGGTATGGTACGTGAAAATTTTTGGCTGGTAGCCTCTTGTTGCTATTTTAACCCCTTGATGACGGGAATTTCTTTCCGAAAGCCAAGTCCAAGAATTCCAGCCTCGCTTGTCCACGCAGGCCACCTGCCAAACCGCAAATTCTCGGTTTGTAGCCCTGTGTGCTCTGCACGCTTTGAATTACACGGCTTCCACGTTCCCGTTGCCTCTTTTCAAAGTGTGGACTGGTGATTATGATACAAATTCAGTCTTTTCATTTCTGGGCTACACACAAAGGCCATTACCATATATACAAGAGCCAGGGTCTGCCTTCTTTCAGTGTGTGGGCCGAGAATAATAGCTGAAAAGCGGGCTGAGGATCTCAATTTTTATGACGTGTCTTGCCGCGTCCCTGCACGAAGGGGTTAATGAAAGCTATTTATACAGCACGTTAAAAAAAATACATTTCCTTTGCACTTGATTTGTGGTAGTCGTACATTCGATTTGACACTCAAATGACCTCTTGCACTTACTTGGGTCTGGCCCAAATAACCGACTATCCCCAATTTACTTTGGAAATTATCCCACAATACCGTGGGAAAACGTGGCAGCTTACAGGTACATACATACAATTGCTTCCCAAGTGGCCTTCAAATTGGCCAGCAAAGTTGCGTCCTAATTGGCCTCCAAAGTGGCCCTTAAATAGACCTTCGAGTATGTTGTCAATCAAGACACTGTTGTAAATAGGTAGGAAAATCACTACACGTTGAGGCAAATTGGCTGAAGTCAAGTACTGATGAGCGAGTTCTATGAAATGAAGGGCAGACGTGCACATTTGAATATCCCTTGCTTTTGACAGTTGGAATTAAGTTAGGGTACTTCAAGTACTCCGATATCATTCATTTATTGCCACAAATTGTGCATGTTTGTTAAAACCTCTACTGACACCATGGGAAAGCACAAGGGAAGTAATTGAACACGATGATTGAGTGTCTACAGAGCTACATGCAGGTCTAGCTCTTGCACTGGCTGCCAATATCTCAGCACGCGCTGATTACAGACGTAGACAAACTTTGGTGGAAAGGCTGTGTCGGACACTTCAGACCTAAGAGGGCGGTTAGTCAAAACACCTGCCGGTACCAGTACCTCGTAGGATTCTCCCTCCTGGTATGGGACTCTCATCTGGGCACAGTCCGTTAAGTTAAGTTACAGAGTACTGGTACACGTACACTGTAACTGTGATGGGAGAGGACCAACTTGCCATCCAGCAACCGTGAATCAAACACGACTGTCTTATCCTGTGCACAGCTCCTGATGCCTGGGCGGTTATCACCATCCGTGTTCACAGAGACCACGAACAGCTGATGAGTGTGTCAGCCTGCCCCACGGCTGGTTTCAAGTGGGACGTACACGCAGGGGGGGTGCCTGAGAGCAGGAGGGGGTACGATGAGAGTCTGAGTCACCCCAGACATGTCTGTTGGGGTGGGGTGGGTGAGCAGGAATCGACCCACCTGCTGGCCACTCTGCGAGACGACTTGCCAAGATCAGTGTGCAGTCCGCACCTGACGCAAACCCAGAGACACTCCTTTGACTGTGGTCGGTGGCAAGTTTCTCAAACGTCGGTAACTGAACCCTCTCGTGCCGTGTCCCAGAGTTTGGTTTTTTCTTGTAGCCACATCCGTTTCTTCTAAACTTGCAAAGATACATGTAAATATGGTCAATTGCCAGCCCATTCTCATATGATCTTGTGAATTCATGTTTTGACATTCTTCAGCCTCATTCTTCAGTACTCATTTTCAGGGAATGTTTGGAAGTCAAGTACATGTAAGTAAGATTTCCGTTATGCAGTACAATTTTTACACATTTTCACATTCAAACAGCGGTTTAGAAGCACATGTACATGTATAGAAGCATGTACATGTACCGGTACATGTGTCTCTTTTTGCACTATTTTACTGCCTAATGAGTGACGGTCGTTTTGGCCTTGAGTAAAGTTTTTCAAATATCAACAGTGGTTTAAGGCTCAAGTTTGAAATGTGCTCACCAGAGATTCTGTGGGTGTCGAGGCCTGAGTCACAAACACATATACATGGAAATCTCCCCGTCACGGTGACCAAGACTTTGAACTTTATCTGACATTGTCAGACTGGGAAGGACAAGTCATTGCAAATTTTGGCACAGGTTGTCAAGTAGTTTGACAAATTTTCACTCTCTTGTTTTTTTTTGGGGGGGGGCCAACTCTTAGTTAAATCTTGCCTCGGTGGAACAGAAAGATACCGTACTGGTACGAAGTTGTTTTCAAGATAGCATTCTCTTCCCGGAAATTCTTCAGGACAAACTTGTCTGGACTGTGTATTCCTAGTCAAGGCTGCCTTGGGAAGTTTTAAAAAAAAAGAAGTTTTTATAAAACTTCCCAGACTCGACTTGTTCTTCTATATTTTTCAATATGGTAATTAACTACATGTAGCCTCACCTGTGGCAGAACATTGTGTCTCGCAGGAAACCAAAATGTGAAGGAAGGCTGGACAAAAGACATAATTTTTTTTTTTCAAATTGGGATCCATGGGAGGTCAGGTGTCCTTCATGCACATGTACATGTATCTTTTCACCTTATTTAGGGTATCTGTAAGTTACCAGTTTTTCTGTGGTACCCGGTGCTCATTTCTGACGGATGCTTGCTGTTGGCTCTGATCGTGTGTGGGAAATGAAATTTGTTTTGCTGCCAACCCAGTCTGGAATTTCTGCCACAAAAAAAAAGCAAAAATGATAATTTTAAGAACTTCTGCAAAGAAGATAGTATTTTTGGCCCCCATTTTCCCTCTGACCGGCCCTTCCTCAAGGTAAAAAAAAACTGAGATCCGTAGAACTACAGATGCCATTTTCATTAAACTACTGGTACTCAAATTAATTTTGGCTTTAGCAACAACTACCTGCCTGAGTGTGGCTGGTGGACAAGCCATGGATCAATGAAAGGGGTGGGGAACAGTTTTCTTAGGGGGATCCAGGGTCAGTTTGGGGGTCTATATTCCGTGAAGGCTATAGCCGTTTGGGGGATCCAGGCCAATGGATTGCCCAACTGTATGAGTCATGATATTTAGTTTTTCAGGGGAGAAATTTGGAGAAATTCTGAGTCCGTTGATTGGGAAGACAGGGTTGATGTCTTGACAAATTTAGAATGTCTAAAACTTGATTTGATGTACCGTACCGGTAGCTTGGCAGATGAGATTTCTTAGCTTTCCAGGATGTTGGGAGATTAAGCCTAGACTGACAAATGGTAAAGGCTTGAGTGACCGAGTACATTTCTTATCTCATGGTTTTTGTAGAATCTGGAAAGTTCTTAATTTAATTTCTCTTCTCTTTTCCCCAAAGAGACCATTTGGAAATGCGAATAAGCCAGGTTGGAGGATGATAAAAGTGTGGTTAGATGAAATCTTTTTCTCAGAAATTTAGAGTGGTTGATCATATTCAAAGTAAGTGCTGATATGCTCATTTCCACAGTTGTGCTTTGTGTTGACACAAAGAACATCTGCATGGACAGAAATAGCAAAAAATTTTCAGAATCCCCGTTTGTCACACAGCCGAAGGATCCAGCCCATTTCCTTAGGCCCATGAAACCTGGTTTTCACAGGAGTACCATCCGTTTGTTAAACCACATTACCAGTATTTAAAGATTCTTGTTTTTTTTTTTCTCCCTGTTTGCAGTGACACTGGCGTTCACTATCCAGAGAGCTCTTTATTTAGCCTCTTTCTGGATGTGTCTGCTGCATTCTGTAAGTATTTGTGGCATAAATGAATCAATTATCCATTAAACTCAACTCCTCGGCTGTATTGAGGGCAGATGGTCTGGTGATGTGGGGTTTTTTTTGCAGAAATGAATAAATAATCATTGCTCATTTGTTATTGGACAAAAGTTCAGGGCTGTTCCTTTTGTTTTCTGTCATGAAGGGACTGAAGACCTAGACCCTATTCATGTGGAGGCCTTTTTTGATCTTATTCCTAAAATCTATTTTATATATTGCAAACTGTTGATTAGGATGGTACCAGACTGTTTTACATGTATGCTTCCATGCGTTCCAAGCCTCCCTTTCAATAATTGTCGGAATCTGGCAAGGTACTACTTGTGTTCAATCATGAATTTGAAATTATTCATCAGAGAAGACAGGTGCAAACTGGTCATGAAATTTCATTTTATGGCTTTTGTTTGTACTCTTGACATTCAAAAACAAAGAGTAAACCTCACTTTCAAATTCAATATAGCTGGCCCCGTAAATATTCTATATTAAAACGCTTCTGCAATGTTTTGGCAGCCCACTGTGCATGCACCAGTACACGAGTTATTGCATTAGGAAAAGCTCAGTGATTGCTGTTGGACAGATGTTCAAGGACTGCTCCGATCTGTTGCCCTGGAGAGTTTGATGTTCCTTTCATTTTGTCTTTTTCTCTGAAATTCTCTTGTATTATGTAACTGGTAAATAAAGATCGGAAGGTGGGACCAAGAATTATCGTTTTTGGTCCTTACTTTAGTCTAGTCCATTTCGTTGATCATATTTTTCATAGCATGAAATATATCACGAATTACTCTCAAATATGGAAAACTTAGAATAGGATTGGCAGAGTGTTCGGGGATGGTTCCATTTATTTTACAGGATGTAACAAGGCTCTGGCTTGGTTTGCTTTTCTTGTTAGTTCTATTGACGGCGTACGTACGTTACCACCATGTCCGACAGTTCCAAGACAGGTTCCAAGAGAACCGACTGTGGCGTTTTCGTCGGGTCAACATCGCAGGGCTGATGGTCAGCCTGGTGGCTGCAGTCGGTCTGATTGTCCTTGCCAACTTTCCCGTGAGTAGAGCAATGGCCACATGCAAAACAGAGTTTTTTTTTTAATTTTTTAATTAATGATTTACTGTCACATGCTTAGAAACAGTTGCAAACATTGTGCGTCATTTACGTCATGTGATCAAAGAAGGGGATTTCAGCCCTGTTACATCTGGTGTAGAAATTGCGTGGGGTTAAGAAATATTTTTGTCTTCTTAAAAATGGGTGGATTTTAAAAGCCTTAGTCATTTGGATGCGCTGTCCAAAACTTCCAATGTGCACAGGAAAGGTGTAGAAACATTTCTGTTTATTTAATACCGGTAGTCCTAATTACGAGGTTTCAACTCGTCAACCAGCATGATAGCCTCTGACTCAAAGTCCCCTCAAAACTTCCATCATTTCCTCCACATCTTTGTCATCCTTTATCTGCTGTCATAATCTCCGAGGTCAGAAGTCTGTGGCCAACTGTTGCAGCGAATGTCTTAGTTCTTGGCTGCAAACACATTGAAGATTAGGAAATTGGTATGGCGCCCGAACTCTCACCCCCCTAAAGGTCCTAGTGCCACCTGTAAGCAAACAGGAAGGCTAACGAGGGGAAGATTTCAAAAGCAACTTTGTGTGTTTCTTGAGTTTACCATTCGGCGGGTCTATGTACCAGTACATGTACATATGTATTGATTTTTTTGGAGCATGATACAGCTTGTCGAGCAGGATATTCGGTCGATTCGTCAGCATCATGACTCAGAATGATGTACCGTTGTCATGGCAATAGTTACGTCAGCCCGCTTTCGTGCACACTCTTTTTTTTTTCTCTCTCTTCTTTTTCTGGCCAGAAATGAGTTTCAGATAGCTCCGCACTAAAAGCCTACTGACGACATCGGATCTCGAGGGCGAGAAACTTGTTTTGAAAATTCCTCTCAGATTGAAATGAGGTGATGAATAGACGGGAAGCATGGTGTGGAAGCATGCGGTACTCGGCTTCCGCCCTGCCCAAGGAAACTTGACTAATTACAAGACAGCTGACGTGGTTGAATCAGCAAGAATTAACTAGGTTTCTAAGCACAGAGAGTCAATTTATTTTCTCATCAAATACAGCTGTACAGGTGTGCAGGTGAAGCGGAGAATTGTAGGTGATGGCGCATGACTGCCTCCTACTCAAGCTGGGTTGAACTTAACATGCCTGACATATTTGCTAATGTACTTAGCAGCTTGTCACAGACTTCAAAGACCCGTCTAAACTTAATCAGAAAAGTCCAACCATTTTAATAACTCGGGTACAACTCACATTGCACTGTATGATACTGTACATTGGACACTCAGGCTGCATCCGGACCTCATGTCTAGAGCTAGGGCTAGGTCTACACTCCATTGGAAATGCGTGGAGACGCGTGGACAACAGGCCTAGCCGTAGCTCTGGAAGCCCGTTTCACAGCCTCAGAGTCCTCAGTGAAATCTCAACAAACAAACAAACCACACAGTAACATCTCCACAAGCCACCCAGCACTACTTTCATGTATGTACATGTAGGGGACACCATGTGCTCCGTGAAAGCCACATGGACGTGCACGCCCAAAGCCAGTTACAGGAGGACAAGCTGCGACGACACTTTTTGGTGCCATTGCCGCGGCTTTTCTCAGTGACCATTCAGGTGATTGTGATTCATGCACTCTGTGTCTCAACCTCAACTTTGGAATGGCGTGTTGAGAGGAAGGTTGTTGCTCGAACACAAACCACTTTCTCTTCCTCATCCAGTACAGAGATTGTACGCAGATCTGTACAGATGTGCAAATGTCAGCTTGCCAACTTTCACTTCTGACGCTGTTGCCACGTCTATCCGCCAACTCCTCTTGGCTAACCCTCTTTCCCTCGTTTTCCTATCCTCCCCGAACCCTGCCCCATCCCCGTCAGCTTCTTTCCGTTTCGGACCATCACGTGGCCGCCCCCTACACCTGCTGTGTCTGTTTCCAATACCCATCTGATCGGCCGTCTGATGGGGCCAACTGGCTTGTGAGCGGAAAGCCTCGCTCGGTACACGTGGCAGATTGGAGGGGAAAAAGAAAATCCTGCAGTGCTGACTCATTGAGGCTAGACTGATTGGCAGCTGATGTAGGGGCCATATGATATCATTGTGGGTAAACCGAGAAAACGATAACAGAGTGAATCGCAGGATCCAGTATACGTCCCGATACACAGACCTCCACTCCTAACCCTAATTGTTTATTGGCCCCTTGCCCTATATGGCACTCAGAGCAACTCGGGTCCTCTGAAACCATTACAAAGTTAAAACTGACCTCAATACCATGTGATCTTGTAATCTTAATCTTTTTGTCCATAGGGATTCAATTATGGTTAAAATAATGCCGTTACTGCCTCCTACCGGTACATGTATTTTTACAATTTTGATTCCAAACTAAGTTAATTGGGAATGTGACTTCAGTCGCCTGGGGAATTACTCAGATTTCAGGGCTGACCGAGATCTTTGGGGTTGTAGCCAAACTTTTGTGGTCTTTGTGGCAGCCAGTGTTTCACTTTCATCGTGCCAATAAATGTACATTATGTGCGCACCGTAGGTACATGTAAATGTGCGTGCACGGTGTCGGCGCCTTCACCCGACTTGCTAAGAAATGTGTCTCTGAAGACAATGGGACAACCAGATTTGGAGGGGGAATATCCCCCGAAAGGAAATTAAAACTTCCCAAAACAGTAGCTAGGCCCTAATAACTCAATTTAGTGTGGGATGTTATTTTTTTTTTTTTAATTTTTAAAGCAGTGGAAACTGTTGTAGCTTAGCAACTCTGTGTGTTGAGTCAGCTGGGTACCAGTGCCAGACAGTGTATGTAAATCACCTGTAAACTTTGGCTGGTACCCTGTTTTTGCTAATTATCCGCTTAGACCATCACTGTGCTCAGGAGCATAAATAAATTTCTTCATGAATTGCCTCCAGGCATCTCTCAAATGTTAGGCACCTGAGACTTGTTGGTAGCTATGGTAACAGGTCCTGCAGAAACTTTCAGAAATAAACAAGCTGGTTCTTTAACCTTCAAGAGTTGAGCGGGGCGGATATGAAAACACTTCTGTGTCGTCCCGATGCCTGAGTCTAAACGTCGTTAGTAATTTATGGCCAAAACTTGCTCCGCGTCTGCAGTCAGATGCTTAAAGGAATCAAACTGTGGTGAAATATGTCCGATGCAACCTAGGGTGTAACACTTGCCTTTAGTGAGATATTATTGGAGTGTCTGCTCGGTGCCTTTGTCAGGATCTGTTTACCTGTTAGTCAGTCGTTCTGTTGCTCAGTGTGTCAGTGTATCTATCAGTCTTTCTTGATCCCGTTTCCTTCCCTGAGCTTTCACTGTCTCTCTGTCACGGACTTGAGTTTTGTCTGTGTCTTCCTAGGGATGTGTCCGCCATTCAGTCTATCTTATTTGCAACAAAGTCTCTTTCCACACCCCACCTCTCTCTTTATACTCGATGGGTGGTGCCATCTGGCCCCCCCCGCATATATCTCCCCGTGTCTTTCAAGATTGATCAGGTATTGCGGTTGTCGGTTCGTCAGTGTCTCTATTTTCCTCGATTCCGTTTCCTTCCCTCGCCGTTCCTCCCCACACATTGGATGAGCAATGCTGGTGAATATCCTGTTCACATTATGATCATTCATGTATGGACTTGATAAAGATTAAGTCCCAGGTTCTTTGGGGCTCTCGCAAGGTCTTAAGAATGCACTTTAGGTGATAGTACGATGCACATTTTTTTTTTTTATTCCAGTGTTCTTGCGTCAGTCCAGCTTTCAAGACTTACAATTTCCTGAAAGCAGTGTTGTATACAAGTCCATCACAAGTCCTTTCCCCAGCCCGGTCCGAAGTCCTTTCACAAGGCCAGTCATAAGTATCGGGGGGAACAATGACAGAGGAACATGTTTGTCACTGCTCATTTGAATAGCTTGTGAACTGGCTCAAGACTGTGATGGACTTATGACGCGGTGACAGGGACTTGCGATTGACTCGAACACAACACTGGCTGAAAGTGGGCGTAAGACTTTGAATCTCTAAACACGTTTGTGTTATTTAGAAATAGAGCATCAGCCAACTTGTGGAATCGATCACTCTTTCTACTCCAGCATTTACCATTATTGTGTGTAAACTCTGGAATTCTCTCATACCTTTCATACAAGTATGTAATGTTCCCCAACTTTTGTTCACGCGTAAGCCTATTTGTATTATCATTGATGACAGCCGTTATTTTTTAATTCAGTAAGACTTTTGAGTTTGATCAAGCTGTGATTATAAATTTTGTTTATATGGTTGGTGTCGTGCAAAATTGTTTTGAAATGTTTACTAAATAAAACGTCGATTCCCATCTCAAAGCCAATCCCACGTTATGACTTTTCCACTCACCGTTGTCACTTGTTATTTCTTTGGACTCCCAGGAGGACGAGGATCTGTTGATCCATTTGCTGGGTGCCTTCTTCTGCTTCACGTTTGGCGTTGCGTACTGTCTCCTCCATGCCTGGCTGTCTTTCAAGACCAGCCCCACTCCCAGCCCGACATGGGTTTGCATCATTCGGTTGGTGCTCGGCTGTCTAGGGATTATCCACACCTCGCTTGGTATCCTTTGAAATATTATCTTAAAGCCTTGTGGTAACATTGTCCCTTCTTGTTTTTTATTTGCTTTAGGGGGATGGCTCATGGTTTATTTTTTTTTTAAAAAGCAGCAGTTTAAAGTTGAACATTAAACTACACAAGAGCCTTGCTTTTTTCTACCATCTCAGCACTGGGGACAGCAGATGTCACCTCCCGTAAGAACTTAAGATGTCCCATACCTTCTTTTTTTTTAAAACTCAGCTATTTTAAAATATGGCATGCATTAACAGTGCTCATTATCGGCATGAATGCAAAGTTTCAACACAATCCAAGCAGTGATTTTGCTGTAATCATTTGAAGTTCATAGACTCATGCTGGTCAGCCTCATGCACTGAGCATGTCAGTGAAAAAAATATGGATTTTGGGGGGGCTGACCTGTCTTGGAAAAAAATGGGCACTGTACGAGAATGGTAATGGAATGTCTGATTCTCACAAAATTTGTAAAATGAATACTAGATACTTCTAAAAAACTCCTGAAGGCTGTAGTTCAAGACAAATATTTGCTGCAGTGATATCGGGAAAATATGTCAAGAGGGCAAAATGTCGAGGGGGTCACACTGATAGTTTGAATGAGCTGTGTTTATACTAACTTTCGACATGTTCGTTGGTCACAAGGTCAACATACATGTAGTGTGGGGTGTGGTTCAGAATTCACGCATTGGATTGGAGCAGGACGAAATTGTGGAATCTGTCTTCATCGATAGGGGTTTGCTATGATGAGTCTTTGTAAGCGCATGACTGGCTGGCCTTGTCCATGGCCAAACACTGAGAGGCAGACAGCATGGCATACACCCGCCAAATGCAGTGACAGACAGAGTGGGGGAGACAGCGGGGCAAAAGTGTTGAGACAGCCGCAAAAACAGGAAGGCCTCGACCGAGTGAGGATAGATGCCGTCAGCGCCGCCGGCCTGCTGGCTAAAAACCAACTGTAGATCAAATGGGCTTGCGGAGTTGACGTGCTGCAAGCAGGTCCCTGGTCGTTCAGTTGCTGTTTGGATGCAGGGGACTGCGCCAAAGGGGGTTCTTGGCAGCAACAGGTTACAGTATCTGCTAACCACGGAATGGCACGCGTACGGTCAGCACTCTGTTCTGCAGGGTGCTGACACAGATATCCAGTGCAAAACAAGGGAAGCACCGAATCCTAAGCTATGAATAGGAGTTTATACATGAACATAACAACACATAACCTCCTTGCTAACCAGTGAAATGGGCTTTATTTTCTGCTGTAACGGGAAAGATTCTTTGCTTCAGCAAAGCCATAAATTTGGCTGAGGCTCCAAATGCATCTCAATAAGTAGAAGCAATTCACAGTGCCTACCTCCCCCGCCCTGCAACGTTTATCCCCCAAGAGGTGTTTTTCCAGCTGGTGAGTTAACATCAGTCTTAAAATGCGCAACAGTCAAAATAGCGCAACATGTTGAAGCTGGCAAACTTTCAGCGAGTGAGATTGAAGCATATTGACCAACTGAAGGAATTCGGAATCTTTGCAGATCCCTTGTCGTGACTTGGGTCCCTAATGTGGTCTGTTGAAACTCAGCGATTTTTTTTTTCTACTTTGATTCTTGCTCTAGCCGAGCCTGGGAAAACTTCATGCAGAGAGAGGAAACAGGTGACCCCAAATGACAGGGCACGATTTTTGAATTAAAAACTCCAGTCCGAATGTGCACAACTCACAAGTTGTAGGAAAAAAACAGGATCGTGCAAAATGGTGACGCTCTATTAAATTACCATGCCCTAACGCACTGATTCCTGGCATGGCAATTAAGCGTGCACAGACTGATGCGTGAATTCCGCTCTTGAATGTAGATTTTTGAAAAGGGGATACAGCCACGATTGTAAAATATGGCCAGGACATTTTCTCCGGGGAACTTTGCCGCTGAGCTAAATAATCACACAGGCCCCTCTGCATTTGGCTTACGGGTATGTTTCTGTGGAGTGTAAGCAACAAATGAAAGCCAGTGCAAAAAAAAAACAAGAGACCAAACCAACACTGACAACAAAATTGTGCAGATTTCAAGCACCTGATCTTGTCTGAGGCCATGGTTATTGAACGTTGCATCATGACGATGTATCGTTTGGTTTGGCCCTTTTTTAAAAATACATGCAAGTATGACGGCCGCATGCTTTCTACTCTTGTAACTCCAAGACTGCACTGTGGTGCATGCAGTGCCTTTGAGATAATGGAGGTGAAGGGAAAAAAGAAAAACCAATTCTTACAGTTTTCATCAGAATATGCACAACCAGTGTAATATCTTCATGTACAAGCAACACAGGCTTGCTTATCCACCAGCCAACTAAAACAAAGGCCATCTAAACAGCAATGTTCAAGTTGACTGTTTTATTGATGGAGATGCCATTTTGTTTTTTTAACTCTCACTTTACATGCACCTGTACGTAAATGCACCTGTACATACATGCACCTGTACGTAAATGCACCTGTACATACATGCACCTGTACGTAAATGCACCTGTACATACATGCACCTGTACGTAAATGCACCTGTACATACATGCACCTGTACATACATGCACCTGTACGTACATGCACTTGTACGTATGCCACTACACACATTTCTGTGCAGTTCACAATGTACCTCAACCAGGCCTCAGTGCAAGTTGGTGCTTTAAAGTTTTAATTGCAATAGCCTGAGACTACATGTACATTAGATTAAACAGGATTAAGGCAATCTCGCAAGGCACATTGCTGTCTAAAAACATGGGAAAAACAGGAAGAAGAAATCTGCGTCCTTGATGTGGGTTTCATGGAGCAAGGAGAAATTGTTCACAAACATAGTTTCAACATTAGAGGGAAAAAAAAACCTGAATTCTTCTGTCCAGATTTCTCTGAAAGTACAAGCCATGAAAGTGCACTGGCATTGCAGGCTACAAACGCATGGCAAGCCAGTTTTGTATTTTGTACCTAGTTGGGGCTGGGTAACGTTGTGCAGAATCCAAACAGACTCTCAATGGGAAACATTTGTTTCTCATTCACCAACGCCCGTCTTTGAGATAGGCCAGTTGATGCAAAGTGACATCTCCTGATTGCCACAGAAAGAAAATCTGCTAGTGGTTTTATTAAAATAAAAAAATGTACCCTGGACTTTAGGAGACTTAAATGCCATGAAGTTGCAGTAAAGATGTTGCATCCTGACTCCACTTCAGCAGTTGTGTACAAAGTCTATGGGGAGATGAAGAGAATTTTCCAAGTATTTCCCAACAACATCGGTAAATGTTTCTCAGTCCAGAATTTGTGCCTTTCCAGAATTTCTGTAATGACTGACTTTTATTGAGATGATATATGATGAGATAGGGGGAGTCAGGATGCAACATTTTTTTCCGAAGTTGCTTAGAAGGAAGTATTGTAGCTGATAATGTTTAGTGAAAGTCGTCGAAAACCAGTTGCAGGCCTTTGAACGTTGTGTGAGCAATACGCTCCGGTACCTGCAGCTGTAGCTGAGTGGAACGCCTCAGTCATCATATGCGAAGTATTTGCTTACATGAAAAAAAACCTTCAGAAGCCCCTCTTGCATGTAGTCTTTCGCCCCCCCCCGAAACAAATGGCGATTACTCACAGATTTTAACCGGTCCCCACCAAGCGCTGTTTGCGGCAGTTTCCTTGACACGTCGTTCTTGCCAGTCATCCTGTTTGGTACGGTGCTGCGATGGCACGCAGACTCCTGCAATCCGGTAAGTCACGCCAATTGCCGTTAAAGTCAGCCAGTCGCAGATTTACATGTAGGTTGCCCTCTCCCCATTTTTATAAAAAGGATATTCTTTCTGACACCTGAACAAACCATGCGTACATCTGTAAGCACCCTGACTTTATCTTATTCTTAAGACCTTGTGGATAGAATTGTTCTCTTTTTCATTGTAGAGCAAGGCAACAGTGACCTCCCCCCCCAACCTCATGGCACTTTCAATTTCCCCCAGCATGACCTTTTCTTATTGCCGTACCCTTTTCAAGTGTAGTTTGGGGAGGTCATTGCTGAAAGGTTCTTGAGCAGTTTCAAAGGAATTCAGTCATAAAGCCAGACCTGAGCACTTGTTACTGACCAGTCATATTTTACTGTCAAGTCCATGTGAGACTAGAACTTGAGCCTGGAAAATGTACTCCTGTCAAAACATGACGTTCTCCGTGCTTGAATGTACATGCACATGTCGACTTCATACGGCCGGGATCTCAGAGTACATAATATCCCGATTGTCTTTGGCATGTGTTTGGCCTTGTCGAGTTGAGGTGGTTGTCAAAAATAATTAAGACTTTAAGGAGTGTGTTATGTGCTGAAGCTCGTGTCAAGTCTGACTTGTGCCTCTGTGTTTCCCAGTCTTTGACTTGTGTCTTTCGAGTCTAGTGTTCTGCTGTTAACTGGACGTTGACTAAAACCCAATGACCAATGCTCCAGACGTGCTTACAGAGGAGAATACTGAATGCCGTGCCCCGTAGGGTGTAGGTTTGGTCATTCACTCCCCTCCCCCCCCTTGAGAATAGCACAGGTGTTTAGTCGGATCTGTCAGAGTGATCTGACCAGTTCAGTGACCATTATACCGTAGCAAGGTTAGTTATTACCACGTGGTCATGCAACTTTCAGGGATCCGACTGGCCTCCTCTGTAGGGGTCGATTTGCTGCGCATTGCCAGGGATGACAAGAGCGTTGCCACGTTTCCAATTACATCGAAGTAATAAGTGCATCCTCATCCGATGAGCGGACGGCCGCTTGTAGAAATCACCGCTCCTCTCAACCCACCCCTTCAGCCTTAATTGCTCCCCCGCTGATTCATGTGATCCTCGGTGTCTGAAAGCATCTGATCCGAGCTAGAATGTCCCGGCCGATGGCTTTCTGCGCGAGTTGCCCTGCTGCCAGAGGAGAGTGATTTGAGAGTGAAAGAAGGAAAAACCTGTAGGGTTTATGTTGTGTCTGGAGGAAATCCAGGCTGGAGTGCTGAGGGGAATGCAGTTCCTTGCTGGCTTGCATGCAGTTCGGGGGCCAAGAAGGAGGGGAGGGGGGAACAGGCTGGGTCTACGGAGTTCTTCAGAAGGGACTTGTGTTTCAAAATGTCAACATTTGTGAAGATCTATGCCAAGAAATCTTTGCTCAGTGGTGCCATTTTTAGTGGGTGTTCAATCTCCAATATTGAAATTAAATTTAGTTGAGGTCGTGAAATTTTTGCGGAGCATGTGTGGCCGAAGTTCCTCTAAAACCATTGCAGAAGAGCTTTTAAGCATTCTGAATGTCGCCAGAAAGAGTGGTGGCTGTGAAGCAGTTTAGGACCTTTCCAATGATTTCCATGGTCTGTAAAAACTCCTTTAAGCTTGGCAGCTCCTTGACATAGCCTCATTACATGTACACGTGAACTTCTCTGTTAGTCGTTTTTTGTTCCAAAAAAACCAGTCCTTTTCAGGAATGTTTTCTGGTGGAAATGTAAAGCTGAAAAGACAATGAGTAGATAAAGTTGAAAGTATTATGTCGCTAACTTTAGTATTTATTTCATATGACAGCAAATGAAATTCCGTCGGATCAGTGCCATGTTTGAGTGGCTCCTGGTAGTGACCTTCAACCTCTACACTCTGACCTTCACCTACGAGTTCCGGCACATCCAGCTGGCCACCATCCTGCGGCACTGGACCGGGGACTCCTGGGAGTTCATGGAGCTGCCGGCCGACGAGGTCACGGCGTCGTCGGGCGTGGCATCTGGGAGCGAGGCGGCCAAGCTCCAGCTGGAGGAGGAGGCCAATGGTAACCAGCCGGCCAGGTATCCCTGCCTGCACCTGGACGGAAGCCTGCACACTGTGACCGTCTGCGAGACGTGCAACGCAGAGGGAAAAGCCCATCCTGTATAGGGAGGAAGAGGCATGCACGGCGGCTCTTGGGAGTGGGCTGTTTGGTACGTACCGTACGGTTCCATGTTTGGAAGAGCTTGCAGTTCTTTTTTTCTGTTTGTTATGCAGTATCAATTGGGAAGCATCAATTAGATTCACAGATGAAGGGGCGTGGCCGCACTTGGGAATGGGCGGTTAGATACATGTACGTATATGTACTGTACAGTTCAGTAGTCAAAAGGTTTGATGTGGTTTTTTTTCTTCTTTGTTTATGGTACATACATGTACACCTGTATCTACCGTGTCAATCAGGAAGGCATCAATCAAATGTGACCCAACATAACAAAATGAGTCACAAGTCACCAGAGCAACTTTGGAGTGAAAGGCCTTTTAAGGGGAATCTTTCACCCTGTAAATCAACGCGAGCCCTCAACAATTGTCCACCTTCATCAGGATACCAAATTGGGTAACACATCAAAACAAGGAACTTAGTTTGCTCTTTTTTGGTGCAGACTAAACCTGAATTACCAACAACCAAAAAAAAAAAAAATGGCCTTTGTGGGATATGGTCACAAAGACAAGGAAAAGGACGTGGCTGTATTTAGGCATGGCAGAATATAAGCATCCAGTTACGCTGTAGTTCTTAGAGAAAACACAAAGTAAAGCTCAACTGTCAGTCCATGAGACATGACAAAGAGAGTGCTCAGCTCTTCCATTGTAAGAGTTAGGTGTGATGCTCAAGGCTTTTAAAACTTTTTTTGGGGGGGGGTGAATGTAGCATCAGTGACCAGGTTTATCTCAAATGGGTAGGATACTGAAGTAAAAGAAAATACTGGTACCAGTTTGGGGGGACATTGTCACATGTCTTTGAAGTGACTAGGATTAATTATTCATGAATTATTATTCATGAGTTATTCATGAATTATTATTCATGAGTTATTCATGAATTATTACTCAAGAATTATTCAGTGATGGTTGCGACCAGTTGTCATTTTTGTTTGACATTTCATTTATATTAAGGTTTAGTAGGCCTACACAGTATTTGTTAAATATTGTATTATATTTAAGTTTTTGTTACTTTGTCCCTTTTTGAAATTTGTCTGTGATTTTTTTTTTCAATTTTAATTTACATTAGAGACATAATTTCATTGAAGAGACTCGCTTGTTTGAAGCATTTTAAAATACTCTTGGTCAGTCTCGTGCACTGTATGCAAGGTCAAACATAATGATGAGTCATTTGGTTTGGCCCTTCACATCTGCTCTTTGTAAGAATGAAGGTTCTGAATAGCCGTTCTGGATTAAGACTCTTTTCAATTTCTAAGAAATTCAGTTTTTCTCGGGAACTTAAAGTTCTTCCAAAAGAGAAGATGAGCCTTACAGTAATTACTGTGTATTGCAAAAACTGAGATTCCAGATGAAAATTAACAGTTTGGGAAATTAATCCTTCAAGAACCATGGTTCTAAGAATTCAAGTTCTAAGAACTGCATGTAGACTTCTTGGATGTAAAGTTCCTCATCAGTCTAATCAGGGTACAAATGCAAGAGCCTTGCTCATTTCTAATCAAGAAAAATATACATATTTTGTAAATACTGTACACACCACAAAATCTATATTTGTATTTAAGTCTATTTTCTCAAGACATAAAACTATTTATATAACTTAAGCTAAGGAAAATTCAGTTCATACACAAATGTGTTGTAATCATGATGATGCAAAGTGAGGACTATGTATTTTATCCTGCTGTATGATATACATGTAGGATGATACATCTATTTATGAATATTACTCGGTACATGTCTGGCGGACATCATATAAGGCATGTCTGAGCATGCATATCCTTGTATCACCAGTCTCTTAAGATTGAATGACTAGCGTTTAGGTTTACTTTGACTGGCTTTCAAAACTACTTGTACATTTGAGAGATGTTTTGTTGACCAGTCGGGAACATTTTTGGAAATGCCTCTCTAGATGTGATTCACCCTAACCCCTTTACTTGAGGTGTTTTTTTGCTGGGAACTTTGTTTGCCTATCGCCCCTCAGAGCTGGAGAGAGGAGCACGAATTACCAAAGACAAGCTCAACTAGAACTATGGGGATCTGGTGAAATCAAATCAGTGCAACTTTGGAGCAGAGTGGGGTTGTACATAAATATTTAACACTGGGAAACAAGTCTCCACATTTCCTTCAAAAATGTTAGGTGCATTGGAAAAATACCAATATGGCCTTTTTTTACATGTAGCACCAAGGGTGTCAGGTTCAAAAACATTTCCTGGGAGAGGGCAGGTGCTTTTCAACCTCCGCTGGGAAGGGACAGGCAGATATTTTTGATCCTAGATGAAACCGTAGTGATACTGTCCTACAGTGGTTTATTAAAATCCAACAGAATCACGTGCTGCGTTGGGGGGGGGTGCAAATCACTGGCGGCAGAGTCGGGAGGGCCGTTTCCCCCCCCCCACCTTATTTTGCCCCCTCTCCTTTTATAGGCCTACCAGCCATTGGAGGTACGTTGTAACTTCATGATCGCATTCTTTTCAGTCTAACGACAGGGGCTTGCCCTCCCACTTTTAAAACCGTTCTGCCGCTGTTGGTGCAAAGTTACACCGACGGACTTCCTGTGTTCTCACTTCAGATCAGAACTACGCGTAGAGTTATAGCTAAAGTACTCTTACAGATTTTAATTGCTTGGATAAGTTTCTTGGCTACACAGCGGTACCGTTATATGTTTCTGCTCTGACCAAGTTAATCTTTCTCTGAAATTGTCTCTTTACATTTTAAGCAGCACTATGGAAAATATTGCCTGTGTTTTTTATAGACAGATTTGGGTAAGAACACTTCCTTTCCCGAACTCGATGATCGATGGACTTACTCTGTTGTACAGTAGTTTCAGGGGTTATATAAATGAGGGAAGAAAGAGGAAAAACAGGAAAGTGGAGGCCCAGTTCTGTTGTCTTGTTTACCCTTGGAGCAGGATTTTTTTTTTGTACTGGCGGCCAGCAGCTGTGAGCACAGCAAGGGATTGTTGGATGTGGGCAGGCAATGCATTGGGTGACTGCCAAACTTTGGCCAAAGTTTGACGCAGCGCACGTCCGTCAACCTAGAGAGAAATTATCCAACTGTTCAAACAGAGCTAAGCACAGGGGCTCATCTACGTGTACCAAAATTGTCATAATTAATTGAGCCAGTAGTCTTTTGACAGGTACTGAATTTGGGCTACTTGTCAATGCTCGGCGTGAAGCTGAATGATACCACCTATGTACTTCGTTCGGTTTCCCTTGACTGTGTCCTTTCCTCGTGAAGAAAAGAAATATTCTATTGAAGAGAAGAGTTTAGAGCAGAAAAACCCGAACATTGTATATACCTGTGGCAAAACTCTAAGAGATGGACTTAGTACCTTTAAAAAGAAAATACTAGATGGATTTATTTAGAGTTTTAAACCTTTAATGTTTTCCTTTCTTCACCATGTCTATAGACCTGTATGCTAGATGTAGAATAGTGCTTATGTCGACTGAAAGTTGTCCACAAACTATGAAGGTTTAGATTTTGATGGATTAAACAGTTACAAGATACATGTACATCACCTCATTACTAGGAAAAACCGATATGACCTGTGAGTCTGCGACTGGAACTAACACAAACACTTGTACATGTATGGAGACCACTCGCTTTGACTCCGAGAGGTCAACACCAGTGTTGACCTTTGACATCTTCTGGTTGTTAGGATTGAGCTTCGACCTCTGAGAGGTCTGTAATATTTGGTTTAACCTGACCCACAGTATGCTAAAGTAAATGCTTGACCTATACAGGTCAAGATTTACAATGGCCTCTAATGGAGAAGGAAAAACTATGTGTATTGTTTGAGGGATTGTGTTTTATCATTTTAAAAAATGTACTTTGTAGCTGTAATTCTTTTGTCTGATATGCAAATTCAGGACATGTAATCTATGCATTTTAGATAAATAAACCAGTACTAACGAGCAGCAACCCCGTTGNTTTTGGTTTTATTTTCACGACAAATATTGCATATATTCTGGTACGCTGTCATTTTATGTGGGACGCGCATACATGACATGTATGTAAAGAAATCTTTGCATGTTTACTGTTAGACTTCACATGGCATAACCAATTTACATCAGGGATCCAAGATCCAATGCCCACACAGCCCCTACATACAAGTATTCTGATCAAGAGATCTATCCACACGGTGTTTCCGCAAGCCCTCGCTCTAGTCCAGTGTTGCATTCAGTCCATCACAAGTCCCTTCACAAGACCAGTCACAAGTCCTTTCACAAGGCCAGTCACAAGTCCTTTCACAAGGCCAGTCACAAGTCCTTTCACAAGGCCAGTCACAAGTCCTTTCACAAGGCCGGTCTTAGGCATGAGGGTGTACAGCACAGCGTTTGATTAGCTTGTGAATTGGCTAAAGACTGAATGACTTGTGGGGACTTGTGATGGGCTTGCAGGGACTTGTAATGGGCTTGCGGGGACTTGTGATGGGCTTGCGGGGACTTGTGATGGACTCGAATACAACACTGCTCTAGTCAATCTCCACCATGCAAAGCTTCAAGTCTTACTTGAGTTACATCTTGAAAAAGGGCTTCCTCTTTATTGTGTTAGTCTTCAAAACATTAGCACACAACGGCAAGCACTGATTTTTTACAAGTAACCAATTAATTACAAAAAGTTTACTTTGTGAGCACTAAAGGTGCCTCTTCAGTCTCTCACACAGTCAGTGGACACATCTCAACCCACGATCAGTATTTTATGTACTTGATTTGGACGATTCAGGCTTCCTTTACAGATCTGTAATGCAAATGCCTTGCATGCACTTCTGACAGCCCTTTGCATTTACTCTTCACCTCAGAACCAAATTCCATACCCCAAGAACTTGTCAAATGACTGTGGCTGGAGGTGATTACATGTACATGAATCTAAATATAGAAACTGTGGAACAGCATTAACGCAGAGGAAACTCAACGAGACAAAGATATTGAGCTATTAAAAAATGCATTCAACATGAAATGAGAACACCCTTCCTACTAGCTAAAGTTGACCTACTTACGGATTACTTTGCAACTTTTGCCTTGCAAAATTTGTCTAGAAACCACAAATCTCCGGCTAACTAACAAGCAGGACCCATGAACATCAAAAGTGGGATTGTGGCCACGGCGGCCATCAGATTATCAAGAAAAAAAGTTACTTGTTAACTGCTTTGTGGAAGATAAACACAAACTCCTCATTTTAATTGAATAAGAACTTCGGAGTTTTCCAAGCGTGATTCACACAATATGTCTCTCCTCAATTTCTGAATTTCTGCAATGGAAGAATACTCCGATGAAAGACGGACAATTAAAGGGTGTCTTTAAAGAATTAAGTCTAAACATACAACCAGGGCCATTCCTCCAGCCCAGGATTCAACTTCAGATCCCCGCCCACACGAATCTACACAAGTCCTGTATTTTTGCATGCTCATAACAGTTGGCCAGTGACAATCTTTCCTTCCTCGTTCCAAACAACACTTGGACCAGAAATGCCCAAATGTTGAGAAATGGCCTTTGACAGTCGCGAACAAACGACACAATTTTGCCAGGTTACTTTTGTGCAGAGTTGATAACACTGCCATCGTTTACCAATAGATACATACTAGCCACTAAGGTGTTTTTTCTACAAAAATACTCTAAATAGAATACCGTATATCAAAAGGCTGGTTTGAAAATATACACGGTTTGGTTACTGAATATGGAAATAAAGTACTTTGAAAACATTAAGAAAACTTCCAAATCTGGGACTGTTGTTTTTACAGGATATTTACATTTCTATGAATACAAACTACTTTTGAAAATTCTCACAAGATTTCAAGTGAAAGGAAGGTGCGGCAACTGGGAATGTTTGGCCCACAATGATGTCATTTATCATGCTGACCAATGAAATGCCATCATTGTGGGCAGCAATTGACCTCACTTTGTGATCAGCCATTTTTCAAGTGATGCCCACCACTGACCAAAGCAATCGGCACAATGGCTTCGCCACAGACAAGTATCTAGCCAATGAAGAACCTTCCAGATGAAAAGTACGACTGCACGTGCTCACAGGTAACCAATACTGAGCTTTGATTTTGCTCCTGTGCTCACCACTGGCCGGTGATTTGGAAATGTGCCAACCTATGAGCATGCAAGGCTGCCTACACGACCTTTTTCACAGCTTCCAATTACCGTTGGGGTCTGTTTGTTGCAAGTAGAATTGGATTCCAATCAGTGATACGATGTTGGTTCACCAACACCAGAACCTGCCTAATGGACAGGGGAACCCTGCTTAAGGATCACTGACTGACATTCAGATCTGTGCGAAACAAGCTGGCCCATGATAAACTATACTTCTACATACATGTGTACGGTGCATGTGCTGCATGCATCTATAGGTGCTACATGTACCTCCCCTTAACCCTAACTTTCCCCAACCACTCGGAAAAACAAAGTCCAACAGCCTCTGTGCACAGAGTCCCATATGGGTGTTTAACTTTGTGTGAATGGGGAAGGTTAGGGCCAGCAACCCTTGGGGGGGGTTAGGATTAATAAAAAAAAGGGTAAATGTTCACTTTCCTCACCAAAGATGCAAGCTTCACTGGTTGCACATTTCAGTGGTTAATTTAAGTTTTTAGCAGTACACAAGATATTTAATGGAAGCAACTGGCAAACTTAATGCATAGAGATTCTTCAGGACTATCAATGATACTTCGTATTTGTTAACGACCTTTTGATGTCGTGTAGTAAAAACTAGAGCAGAATCTTTCTGATCCTGACAGGCCACTGGCCTATGTGTAGCTCCAGTCTACTGGTGACAGTTATTGATGGGGAATCCGTCTGGCTCATCCTGGGTGTTACCAAGTTGGTTCCTTACGGGGAGGGGGATACTCCTCAGAACAACACACATGGGCCCAATTACAAGAGAGCTGCTGTGCCGTGTGTTAAACTGGCATCCTGGCCTTGTGGAACGGTCTTCCAACCATCTCTGGAGTCGTCTTGGCTTTTAGCTCTCGCGGGCCCTATGCATGCACTATGTGCAGACATGGCATGAAGGATGTTTTGTGATCATGCTCGATTAGTTGAAGCAGCTTGACCCTATACCAAGGGTCGCCGACACAAAATATTGGTCTGACATGCTGCCCATATAGTCTACCACTCAAAGACCAAGACAGCAGTTGGACTAATATTGAATTTATAAGCAAATACTACACTAAATCAGCATCAAAAATATTTGAAATAGCACACAAGAAATCAGTCACAAAACCTACACTTTGAATAGCAATAATAACTAGCTACATGAATACATACATTCACTAACCTGAATTCTGAAAAGTATCAAACACAGTCATTTATTTACCTACATGTACATGTATAAAACGGTCTACTCTTTAATAATATGTACACATTACTGCAGGTTACCAATATCAACAGGTAGACACATTGCCAACAAATATTTCAATGTAGCTGGCATGCTTGTAAAAAATACTTGGACCAAGTTAGGTGAACAATTATTACATTTTAAAAACAAAAAGCAACAATATCAACAGAAAATCAGTACAACATGATGCCAAGAAAGAAACGTCTTGTTGCCAGCACTCCAGAGTTAGGGATGGGAAATGCTGATCTCAAATTAAATGCTTTCTGTGAACAACATACTAATTACTTGGGTTATAGGTTCCCCATTCTAAGCTGGAACCCACCCATGTGGCCGACCACAACAAGAGCCCCTCGACAGGTATTTTTCTTAATTGAGGAGACCCATTTTGGGGTGAGGGGTACAGGTTAGCACCCTCTCAATGTACCTTCCGGGAGCCTGTGTTATTTCATTCTGGGCAGGGGCTGTTTCACGTGTCATTCCTCATCTCTCGGCCTAGATTGATACATCCTACCCACGGCTCACAATTGAAAAGTTTCACGACAAAGTTAATTGCTTGGATTGGCGTTGCCGCAGATCCGATGCCAGTTGAGAAGAATGTTGACACATGAAGTGGAATCTGTCTCGTGTTATTTGATGACAAGTCTGAAAGGTGCGCTTGCCGCCGAACAGCAGCCACAAGGGGAAAACTGTCACAAAGGAAAAGGTGGTCACTAAGTGACTACTCATACTGGCTAGTGCTGCGACAACTTGCTTGTGGCCACGGCCACTGGCCTTGGACAAATGGCCAAAACAGAAGGCCTTTTTATGTGTGGTTTTGGCAGGTGGAGGGCCAAAATAGACAGGTGGCCTTTGTGGACACATGACGATTCCGGCACCGAGTGCCCTAAAATTATGGAGCAGGTTCTTAATAAAAAGAGCATGCCACCAAGCCGATCTGAGCAACAATAGGCAGGCTACCTAACTGAACGGGTAGCCTCAATGGACAAGTGGTCTCAGTGAACAGGTGGCCTCGATAAACGACCATGGTAGACAGTGGCCAGGGTAGACAAACGGCCCAAAGAGGTTTTCACAGAATGCCATGCGCGGCCCCAACAGATAAAGGGAAAAAACTAGACAAGAAGCTACAACACAACTGCCATGTGGCCTTTGAGGACACATGATGGGTGCCCAGGTGGCCACCGAGGACACACGGGTGCCCAGGTGGTCATTGAGGGCACATGATGGGTGCCCCGGTGGCCACTGAGAGCACATGATGGGTGCAACAAGGTCATCTCATCTTAAAAAGAACACACTCCAATGGTTAGTAGATACCACAGCAGTGCATACTCGGCCCAAACGAGAGGGTGGTGCCAATAACTGACCACCACAGAAAGTGGCCACAATGACCACAGCGCTTGCAGGAAGGTGGGTGAAATGGTCAAATGGCCCCCATGGACGGGTACCACGAAATGAATAGCCGGCCTCTACATTTACATGTATGAGCAAGGCCTATGCGTCTCCCAGCCAAAAAAATCAACCAGTTCAACAGCCATGGCTAGTCTGAATTCACTTCAAGGAATACTTGAGTCTTTTGCCAAAAAAGTTGGCTTTGTAAAAAAAAAAGAAATGATAAAAAGTTAAATGATGTCTTGCAAAACGCGGCAACCACCATGCAAGATGCGATGTTTAAATACTCTCTCTAATGTACAACGTTCATGTACCTTGTCAAAAAGTCATAGTTACTAGGAAAAAAATTCAGCTGCTGAAGAATACATTTACACATGACATATCAACACTTTAACATGTCAGAACAACCCTTACCATGGACATAACGGGAAATCCTTTGCCCAACGTTCACAACTTGAACCTTAATGCACATTGTGTGGAATCTACCTCGATCAACACATTGACGTACAGTGTACAACTTGTGCAGGACAAGCAGGAGTGATTTCAGTGTAAAGCTGACATTTGCACACAGTAAAAGCCACCAAATAAAATTCAAGAAATTATCCACAGAAACACCCAAACCACGATAAGGTAAAGCAACGGATTATTCTTGCCACAAATTGTGTGACTTCAATCCCCATGCAAATACAAATAAACTATAACTCTTTTTTCCCCAACCATTCCATTACTTGAATCCGACAGGTCAGAACGGCCGGAACTAACATCGAGCGGCTAATTTTGTAAGTACTTTCATTTAAAAAAGTTACGCACTATACAAATGTAAACTACGATTCAATTGGGTAATTGCAAGCATGACCCAATTGAGAATGTCTACCCAGGTTGTGCATGTACATTTAATGTACCCATGGATGTGTACTTGGTACAAGTGCGATGTACATGTATAATCCCAGCTGCATTGCGTGATGCACTGACAGTAACATATCCCAGCCTTGATTACGCAAGGCATGGAAGTTTGGTCCAAAACACGTGCCAAAGTAGGATCACCGACCATCTGTGACTGAACCTGACAACATGAGCCACAAGTTCCTGCAGCTAGTTTTAGGTAAGTTTGCAAAATGCAAACCAGCAGAAACTATCAATGTTTTCTCCCACAATATGCTCATTTTTCAACAGGAAGCCAAGCTGAGTGATACCTCAACAGAAAGAACCCAGCTTATTCCTAATGCAAACTAAGAGCAAAATTACTGGAAAAAATTACCTCACAAACGTGGCATCTGGTTACACTTTTCAACTGCTGGTCGATTTGCATAGTAACCAACTACATGTACATAACATATGCAGCCTGGGTACCGGGCAAGTGGACCGGCAGATGACTAGCAGTCACTGATCGTACTTGGCCACATTCCTAAAAATGTGACTCATGAAACGTTACAGTGTGGACTTTACAATGGGTGCACGGCTGACTGAGGTACAAGAAGCACGTAGCTAAACTAGCATGGACCAGGCTGTGCCAGCCACTTGCATCATTGACTGCACCCGCTCTGCAACGATTACCGGCTGAATCGGGTGATTCCGGCAAGTGACAGGGGCAGGATTTGTGGCCAATTGACAACTCATAGCTGCATCCTCACGGCCACTGCACGCGCCCCCTGCCAAACTACACCGCTGAAAAACAAAAATAACCTATTTCTTCGCTGGCGCTTTGACCGGCAAGCGATGGACCTGCTGTCCACGTTACACTCGCCAATCTGTAACTGCTCTGCAAAATGTAGTCTCGTCTCCTGTCCTCACCGGCACAATAGAGGGCACCAGTCAAATTTTTTTTTTGCCCAGTTTTCACTGAAATGATATTCCTCTCAGCCTGAAGAGGGCGCTCTTTTAGACCTCCTCCAGCAGTTCCATCTCGAAAGCTTGGCCAATGGGGCTTTTCGTTTTTTTCTTACAAAATGAGTTTCTCTTTCAACACCAGCAAACTTAGTTCTGTTTGTTTGTTTTTTTAATTTAGGGACTCTGTTGTTCACAAGACTTCTCCAACATTCAGGTCCTCATACGCAGGGGGCGGAGTTTCATCCCCTTGAGTGGTGACAACACCAGCTGCTGTCATGCCAGCGCCTACAACTTCCATGTAGGTGGGTGGGACCTCGTCTTCAATTTCCTCCTCTTTGTCCGAAGCGCTGGCTGGGTTGGGTATGTGGACACCGCTGGCCAGATTGTACGACACCAGGAGATTTGTCCGGGCAGGGCAACGGTGGGGCGGTAGGTGGTGGCAAAAGTTGGAATGCTGGGAGAGGCGGTAGGGCGTGGTCACGGCATCCACGCTAGAACTGCCGCCATCAAGGCCACGCCCCGCCCTCCGCGTCCGGCTCCGTCTGTGCCTGCGGCCGTGATGGTGATGGTGGTGGTGGTAGAGATGGTGCGGGTGGCCAACCGCCGCAAAGTACCGCTGCTGCATGCGACGTACCCGCCGCACGTACACGAAGATCGTGACGGCCATGAACGTCATCAGCATGGCACACGACACGATGAGGATATCGATGAGGCTGAGGGAGGATTCCACTGGCTGGACGGGGGTGCCAGGGAGTCTGTCCTCAGCTGGGGATCTAGCTGTGACGGCAGATCCTAGAACAAAAGTTGCCAAACCACTGAAGCAACATTTTAACACTTGACAATGGCCAAGAGGATATCAAAAACTCTTATGCAGTCACCAAAGCGCTAAATACATGTAATTAACGCTATGACTAAAGGCTAAATAATAATGTGACCCTCTCCCAATGAAAATGGCGCCATGAACATTTGGGCCCAAAATATGACACACAGCATGGTTAACGACACACACTGGCTACCCATAGAAATGACTGGCTTTGCAACAGAGGCCTACAACTTTCTACGGAACATGGAAAGCAAGTTTCCATTTTCAGGGACAAAAGGGAGCGGCGTGAATCAAAATAAGGACACTTTGGTGCGTAGTGTTTTGGAGTACATACCACAGCTGTGTTCATCCTCCCCACGTCTGCAGTCTTCAACCTGATTACACCGCCAGTCCTTAGGTATACAAATCCCATCAATGCAGGGAAACTGCCCCTCTTGACAGACCGTGCTGGGCATGGAAGAACCTGCAGCAACAAGCACATTGTCAGGAAACTCAGAGGATGTTTATTTATTTCTTATGCAAATGGAAAAATTCCATATTCATGAGCATCAGCGTAACAGTGATGGCATCTGAATATCAGATTCAACTCTCCGAGTACAAAGCCAAAATCTTTCTATTTTCCACCAAGATAAATTCTCAGTTTGTGTTCATGTATTTATTTCATGCAAGGTTGCCAGTTGGGAAAAATTAATAACCATACTGCCACAAATTCATAAAGTTTCAAGGTCATTTGTTCATAAATTTTTCAACAACCAAAGTGACATTGAAGCAACATACTCATAATTGTGAATGGTACGCGTCTTCAGAGTTTTACTAAAGGCAGTTGGGCGTCTCCAACGGGGTTGGACAGTGATCCAAAGAAGTCTTGCAAATAAGTCATGAGAATCAGACTCCATCAATTTCGACGTCCATTAACTGGCCACAAATTCCACCATAATGTTCTTTGGCCAATCCGAGGACTTACTGCAATATTTCTCGTCGCTTCCATCGGGGCAGTCCCCCGTGCCGTCACAGATGTATTTCTGGATGACGCAATGTCCGTCGTCGCAGCGATACTCCTGTAGGCTGCACGGCGTTTTAATGGGAGGGGAGGCCTCGAAACCTGCCAGAAAAATCAGGAAAGTAACTCACTGGTAAAAAAATGTATCTGTTGCATTTATGGTTTTCCAAACTCGTGGGTTTTTTACTTTCTCACTTGCACAGAGTTTCTTGCTATTTATACTGCAATTAACTGAATAAGTAACCTGCAGACGTAATGATAAGAACGATTACGACATCTGGGAAGTTTAAGTGATTGTTTGATCCTTTATGAATCTGAAAGTACACTTTCTCCACACTTCTTTTCAACCTAGTTCCATACTATTCTTTTTAGTTGTCTGTATTTCTGTAGTAAGTTGCCTTCATTTTCCGGGAAGATCACAAACCTTGGAAGTCGAATGTTTCGCAGTGTTTTCCCTTCCAGAAGAAATCGCACAGACACAAGTAGTGGTCCATGAAGTTTTGGCACGTTCCCCCATTCAGGCATGGACTGCTGCTACAGCCTGGACCGTCTGTGACTTGAAAAGAAAGATCAAATAACCATTAACCCTCCTATGCAGAAGTCACTCTTTGGGCCACTTGGTGAACACCTCAAAGAAGCACAGCTGTGTTGTGTTGTGCACTGCACTAACTGTCCCTCACAGGAATATCATATTGCACTTTTGTGCTGCCCACCAACTGTGCTTCACTGTCTCATGTGCATCATTGTGCAGTAAACCAAATG